TTTTTTTTTTTTCCAAGTCAGCGAACTTCTTTCAAAATCTTGTCTTAAAATTTTAAACGTGATTCAGATATTGTACAGAATATAATATAGACTGATGAAATATAAAAGTGTAATATAAATGTAGTACAGAAATATAATTTATGAAATATAGAAGCACAGATTTATTATACTTCATTTGTATAACACGATACGTGGAAGAAGATATTTACGATAGCCTCCTCTATTAATAATTCACAAAAATTCGCGGCAAGGAATAAATTAAAAATAGAAGTAAGTAAATGTACCATGAAATTCAGAAATAAAACTTTTCTGTCGCATGACGGGAATAAATAAAACGCGTCTTATACGGAAATTAATAAAAAAATTCAAGAAGAAGACATCTTTCTTCAACGTGTGTTATCGAAGGTCAGGATATTTTAGAAAGCATTATCATATCACATGCAAACTTCTTTTGCTCCAAATGTTGATCATTATTATGAAATCCCAACTGTGATAATTCCGTTGCCAACTTATTAATTTCGGTCATTTCTCCGTTTCTTTCATTCGAAGGTGCGTATCGCCGAAAAAACCGATAAATCCCTATCGATCTTCTTTCAAAACTGGACTTTGATGTTTCGTGTTTTATCTGTGTTTATATATGTGCGTGTCAAATTCATTAATTTCGAGAATCGATTAAAATTTAACGCATAAATTAAAGAATATTTTAAACGTTTTAAGGCGTTCTTTCTTTACGTATAATTTTTTTCTTCCTCTTTTTCTTTCTTTTTTTTCTTGATTTATCGATGACACAATCTATCCTTTTTATTACCTCGATTATGTAACGTGAATCTCAAACTGACAATAATGAATTTCAAGTATTCTTTCTCTTATTAACGATTCATCGCAAATTAATGAATCACAACAATCTTATTAAAACTTTCACGATTTATAAACGATATTTCGAAAGAACACTATATAATACGAAATACTGCAATAGTAACTTTAACAATAATTTAAAATTTTTCTTTCCCTTTGGAAATGTTTTAATGACATTCCATTAATTTAATTAATCAATTGTGCGATTTATTATACTTCGTGACTCGTCGAAATAAAATTTAACGATGGAACTTTTAAGATAACATTTGATTTTATATATATATATATATATTTTATAAATTTTCAATCTCTTTTACGTATAATCTTGTAACTCAAGATATCGAAACGAATTTAATCCAAGAACAAACTTCTTTCATCTAATAAGAATGAAATTATATTATATGTATAACGAAATGATTGATGATAATTTTGAAAATTTATACATAGAAAATTAAATGTCCATCATTTATTAACAAACAATTTAATTAATTTCAATCAGTTCAAAATCTTCTAATAATAAGTTAAGTTCGAAAAATAAAATAATTCCACGTTCTTCTCCTTCTCAATCAATTTCAGATTCTTAGATCTCCACGTGTTGCATAAAAAATCCTTTAAAAAGTCACGTTTAATATATTCTTTTTTTCCTTTTTTTTTTTTTGTCCAATTATATCAAACGCTTCAACAATCCCAATTAATATTGAATACCTCTTACGAGTCGATTCATGGTCAAGCACGAGCCATTAAGATGACATTTTTATCGTTGCTGTTCGTCGAGACAGAAAAGAAAAAAAAAAAAAAAAGTATCCTTTTAAACAAAATTAATTACAACCACGAGATGCATCGATATATCGAGCTTTTAAATCGCGCTGATTCTCGACTGTGCTCGACTTTTTCTGCGCTCGATCTTGAAAAGGTGTTGATCCCTCGAAAATGATGAGGTCGATTGGCGTGGAATTCTTCGTTTAATGCGCGAGAGGAGGCAGCATTTTTGCACCGTTGGCCCGCTGTGACGTCAATGGAGAGTCCTTAGGAAAGGCCAAGGAGATGGCTGAGAAAGCTGTAAAAAACTCGGCTGTAAAAAAAGAGGATTTTTCGTTGAAAACTGGTGGCAACCCATTGCTGTCGTTTAATTAAACGGTTCCAAAGATATCGTCTCGCGTTTAATCCCCTTAAATTATGACGAATTTGAATCGAGTATGCGAGAGAGCATAAAGTTTAAATGAAAATTTTTAAATGATCAACGATTCAATCGATTTAGAATCGATTGTATTATGCAAATGTATATTTAATTACATTTTTTTTAATTTAATTTATTATAATATCGAATTATAATAAATAAGACTTGTATAAGGCGCAATTTGAAGAAATTGTGAAAGATAAATTCATCATAAAAAAAAAAAGAAAAGGAAGAGAAAAGAATCATAGAGAAACAAACATTCGAATCCATTTCCATCAGATTCGCCATTTTCCAGAAACATCTACCTGCCGAGAAAGTAGCATCAACGATAAAAGGGTCGAAGCAACTCGTTTCTTTCGCCCGATGCGATTCAGGAAAGACCCCGTCCAAGAATTCCATCGTTTCATAGATCCCATCAGCATAGATAAACATTCTCCTCCTCGCCAGAGGAGGACCTTTCGCGGGATGCTAGAGAGAAGTCGAGAAATAAGCGGTTCTCTTTTGTGTCCTCCCTCCCACCTTCTTTCCTATCTCTTCTCCTAACGCTCATCCCTCCCTCCCCGTCCCTCCTCCCTCTCTATCCATGCCAATGTACCCGCGATGTTACACGGTATACCACCGTGGCGGGTGGTGGGGATACAGGTATTGTGTCCCTACGCCGGTATATACACTGTAACCGTGCAAATCCGCGGGCCCCTCGTGTATACGGGTATAATCGTTTATTTCGCGTCGACCTTTGCGGGGCACTACGTCAAAATGTCAGACGCGACCCCGCCTGAGCGTAGGGAAGATGCACTGGGAACGTTGTAATGGGCTTACAAAGCGTAACAAACTGATGCGAGGTCAAACACACGACGGGCAATAAACACACGGAGAGATAAATGGGCCCTTAAGGTGCACACCATCGTAAGGAGGGAAAGTGTGTTTCGTTTCGACTCGACGGCCCTTTCATAGGAGTAATATGGCCATTTCCTTCCTTACCGAGTGAGGAGAGATTTTTAACCTCTTTTCGTCGGATCTATCTTTTGATTTAATGGTGAAATAATAATAATAATAATAATAATTGATGCGAGACGATTTATTATTTGAGAGGGAGGGAGACATGGTTTATTTGATATGGTGGATTTTAATTTGATGATATTTAATTATTGCGACTCTCTTTTCATTTTTGGATTTAGAGGTTAGATATAATAACGAGTTAACGAATTATTTATAAGAGGGATGTTTTTATTTTTTTTTATTTTTTTTTTTTTTGTGGTTCGGATTGAGATAATAACGTGTTGTTAAGGATTATTTATAAGGGTATTTTATTGTTGATGATGAGGATCGCGAGGATCGAACAAAGGGGTTCGATATTTTTGCGCGATATCCCACGAGTGATCTTTTCACCTTGTGAACTCGAGGTTGATCGATTTATCGGTTGAGGTTTTAATTAGTGTGCATTATTCGTTCGTGTAGTGGAAGAGAAGAGAATTCTTTCTTGATTTTTGATTTGATATTGTTTTAAACTATTTAATACGAAAAAATTTAATGAAAAAAGAAGTTAAATATTTAATTATAGAAAAACTCGAGTTACTCGGCTTAAAAATTAATAAACAGTTTAAGATATCGTAGAACGTAAAATTATTTTCTCGATTATTTATCACGAATTTTGCAAAATCTGTGACACGCGTGTTTTTATCACAATTTTTTGTAACATGACTTACACATATCTATTTCTTTTAAGTATCTTTTATTAAACGAAATTGAAACTTTTTCTTAGAATAGATCTAGAAGAAGAAAAAAAAACAGCAGATAACGCACTCGTGAAAGCAATTACGCACATTCGTATCGAAATGATCATGACGTTAACACTCGAATTAGACGGTTGACAGAACGATATCGCGACCTCGGACGGTCTGCGAGTTTCAAAGATGGACATAGAGATCGCCCTAAGCCATAAGTGACTTACGAAGCGTAACAAACTGACGCGAGTTTAATCGCGGGACAACACGCGGAAAGATAAATGGATCGTCTCGAAAAAAGTGTACCATTTTGAGTTTTTTTTTATACAAGTTAAAATAAATCGTCGAGGTTGGAAATCAAAAACATTTGCCGCGCTGCAATTATAAAACAAGTTTTAATGCAATTTAGTTCCTTCTTGTTTCAAAAATTTGTAAAAATTCGATAGATATTTGTTAAATTCTTTGTTGTCTTGTACATTATTATTGAAATATGACAAATAATTTCAAATATAATTAAATTTACAATATATAATCTAAAATTAAATCCTTAAAGTTCACTTTAAATTGTCAAGTTGAAATGAGAACGTTATAACGTTAGAAATCGTTTGGAAATTTTATGACGGATAAATTTGGAGTTTTCTTTTTTTCCAGATGCCACAGACGGTACCTACCGCAGCCGGCTATTCGCCGTCGTTCGATTACAGCACATTCCAATTCGATTTATCCCTTCTTTCGGACGATTATGCCGCGACGAACGCGCAAAACACATTGAAACCAGCCCAAATCAAACAGGAAGCGCAATCGCCGCGTCCCGGCTCACCGACCACGTACTCGAGCTCGCCTTACCCCGGCGCCGGCGGTGAACTGTCCCCTAATTACTCGCACGAGGGTTCACCAGGATACCCGACCAGTCCCTACTACGTACCCAGAAGTCCTCAAAGTGCTCAATTCTACCCGACAAGCCCAGAACCCTCCGCGAAACAGCCGGTTAAAAGGGAGAAGAGTCTCGATCTTCTGGCCATCTTGCAAGAGTCCAGGTAAAACTTTCCTCTCTAATTTATAAATCTTTTTAACTGCTTTATTTTACGATGAATCGTTGCCTGTTCGTTCAGTTTTATCGCGAAGACAGTATTCTGTTAGACGACAGCTTTAATCAGTATGCCAATAATTTTTTATTATAGATCGTAATTCTCAAGTTTGAGGAGAATTTGTTCTCTAAATGAACTATTCTTCATTCCAATGACAAATTAAACGAAAATCGTATCGAGGTTCGCAATGCAACCCCTTTCGACCCGAATTTCAGACTTCTGGCCGAGAGTCTGGGGTACAGGGAGGACTCGACCGACTGCACAGTGCCGTGCACACCGCCAAGAACGGAGGAGGACATTTACAACAGCCTTGACGCGGACTTCTTCGCGAAGAAAGAGGATACCGCAGTGCAAGGACACCCGTTGCTGAAGGAGATCCTCTTCAAGTCGGAGCCACGGTCGAGCTGCAACAGCAGCAACAGCAGCACAACGAGCAACACCAGCGATTCCTCGTCCACGTTGTCTTCCTCCCCGTCGAGCGCTTCCTCCTCGCCCGACCCCGTGCAACTCGAGAACAGCTCGCCGTTGAGGAGCTTGCTGTTCAAGGGTGCCAGAAAGGATTTCGCGGACGGCGCGAGAACAAATGTTCTGAAACTCGAGAGAATACAGGACGAAGTCAGGAATCCTCTTCAAAAGGAGGAGGAGCTGTTCAAGGACGGGCAAAAGAGCGATCACCAGTTGCTCAGGGAGGTTCTGAGGGACACCAGCTTTCAGAGGAAGTACAATCTGAGACCCGTGGATCTGGGCAGCGTGGGGACAGGGTTCGTCGAAGACATGGAAGCCGGCGAATGCGTCGGTGACCTGACCAGAGAGCAGATAGAGCCTGTCCTCAGCCTGGCCATCCAACAATTGCAGAAAGACTTTGACAACACCTGTGTCGCGCTTGGTATTCATCCTGGTGAGTTTCCTCGTTCGATTCATTTTAATAATTATATTAACAAATGATCTGATCTGTGAATTACGATGGACTTATTCGTATAATTCGATACTTTACTATTTATCAAATTTTTCACTATCCTAGTTTTTCCAAACTGATTGATTTAATTCGATAATTATGGTTTTATATAATATCGATGAAAAAAAATGAATCAGGCTATGTAATAAAACGAAAAATACTTTTGGAACAACCTATATACGAAGATACAATGTAATTGTTATCACTATATATCTCATGATATCGTCTCACCTTCCAACTTTCTCCTTTTCGAATTTTGAGCACTGAATACAAATTTGTGAAATTTAACTCTGTGTTATTACATAGCTTGGTTGTAGCATTATCCACAAAGAGAGGAAACACAGATCAGATCAGAAAAATATCATCATCGACTAACTGTAGCCTAATAAATAAGCGAGCCACGGATAGATATACCATATGGGAGTAATAAGAAGGTGCGTGAGTCTCCATTAAACTCTCAGACCTTCTTGCTACCTTGCCCCGGGCGAACGTTCGACGTTATCTTCGTGGACGTAGGAGCGACCGGTTTGACTATTAGAGTTGGTCGCATGATGTCATGCTTGGAACAAGTTACGTAGTCGCGCTTCGTGCTTTCACGAATAGTTACCAAATTTCGAGGTACTACGTTCAAGGTCGCCTAAAAACGCTTCCGCCAACATCACATTTCCAACATTTTCATTCACGATGACGCGATTAACTCGTCTCGTTTTCCAGATCGGAAGGGAAGATTGGTGAAGTGGAATAAGCGTCGCGTAGAAAGTTTGAAACAGTGAAATCGAAAGTAATCGTGTATCGATCGTGAAATCTGAATACGTGCATTTTAAGGGGAAAGGAGATGAAATTAGAGTACCAATTGCACAAATAAGAAAGATATATAAAGTGTAATAAATAACTTTCGCTATGTTGATTTCAACAAATTAAATTTTCCAAGAAAGAATTTTCGAATTGCCAAACATCAATAATCCTCGAAGTAATTCCAAAGTCCAATTAATAATATCGATTTCCAAGAGGATGATATAAATAAATAAATAAATAAAAGTGTTAACAACAATCGGTTAAATTCGGAACGATTATTTGAATTGCAGAGCCACGACGTTGGAGCGCCGCGGACGTAGCAGCCTGGATCCAATGGGCCAGAAGGCAACTGCAATTGCCATCTGTCCCACTGGAGAGCTTCAACGTGGATGGCGCTACATTGGCTTCCCTCACGGAAGAGGAATTCTGTCAGCGTGCCCCTCAGGTGAGTCGAGAATAATCTTTACGAAAGATTGATCACGTCTCTTCCGCTTCTGTCCTCTCCGCTCTTTTAAATCGGTCGTGGCGCATAAGTCGCACTTTCAACGTGTACCGTTACGCAACGCCACGCCGCGCCGCCTCGTCTCGAGACGATTATTCGTGGACCGTTTTAACGAAGCAATTAGTCAATGGAATTTCGTGGTGTTTCGATAAATTGCCGCTACGCGAAAAACGGTTCGTCGGAAAGGATGATTGGCCGCTGACGATTAAACAAGCGCCATCCTGCTGACGATGTTATGTCCAGGGTATAAAGGGTATTACGTTCGATTACGGAAATTGGTTATTAAGAACTCGTGATCAAGCTGCGAAAATGATCAAACATATCGATAACTTATGATCGGAAGTAAAGTATTTTAAAGTGGAATCGAATATTGGTCGAAAATTGATTAGAAAATTGATAAGTATCTTACTTTATAATCAACGTATCATTATTTTCAGAAATTTCAGAAATTCTCAGAAGGAAACAACTTTCATAAAAATTAATGAATTATATATATATATATATATAAAATATATATTTATGCCTTCGGGATACAAATTTCATAGAATTACCTTTAGAATTCCAACCGGTTATTAAGTCTTTTAATAATCGTTTCCGTTTTATTTTTCCCCTTCCTCTGTATATATATACACGTATGCCATCTATACCATTTTGTAACGAGATATAAAAAGCCTTAGCACGTCCAATAAAGAAACTAATGGCGCTCGAGTCACTGGAGAAACATTCGTGGACAAGGTCCGGTGAAAGTGAATTTCCTGGAAATCGGTGCGCGTCCACGTTCTTTCCCCGTAATCCATTCCGTGGAAGGGAAGAAGAACGGTGTATGAGTAAGCAACTGGCGTAATAATACGGTTTGTGCCGCTTAACGGAACCAAGATTCTCCCTATGTACACCTTTTGTACGTTGCCGGAATACGTTGGTTTCAACCGATTCCACGTTCCTCTGTACCCGATAGACCGTTATTGAGCAAGATCGAAGAGCGCTTAACGCGAGGTGACGCACGAATGCAAATAGTCTCGACGCTTGTCTGATCGAAAGATGTTGCCAAATTCGATCGAAGATAAAAGTGGTATTTGTGTTGCGTTCCGCCATTCTTTCACCCAGTATTTAATCTTAATTTATATGGTGGTGTGTCTTAAAAATGTATTAAGATTTTTTAACATTGATTATTAATTATTCTAATATATCATCGTTTTGTTCGTTGAATATGGATATCTTGTGGATTGAAAAATATCAATCGTTTCTTCTTTCTTTCATTCCTTAATCGTTCTCATTTGTTGATATAATTTTCATATAGATGTTGATTTATGTTAGTTGGTCAGTTTTCAACCAGCACCATTTAAGTAAATAACTACAATGGAGACAAATTAACTCCTGTTAAAGTGAATGTAAAGTGTCTTTGTCTCGATTTAGTAATTACTGCTTGAATTCGTGTGATACGTTTCTCTTATGATGTCAACTCCTGGTAAAATCTTCGAGGTAACAGAACTTTCTTCTTCGAATAATCTGTTGAAATAGAGTTGGACTTGCATTTTTATTCCTCAATTATATTTTATGACATTGTATTTAAAACGTTGGAATAATTTAATTAATTTTAACAAAAATTAAACTTTTCATTAACCTCTTCTTAGTTTCCTAAAAATTAACTCTGTTCTTCGCAATAGGACAATACTTTCGACCACGAGACCAAAGAGAAGAAAAATAAGAATAAAAACACTTACACTCCCAAACGTAACATCTCAAGAAATTTTCTAACCGTTTCATTCACCTCGGTGTACTCTACGAATTATTCAATACGGATTTCACCGATTTCCAAAAAATGTCACGCTTCGATAACGGTCTTCATGGGTAAATGAAGAGGAGAGCAACGACAAAGTTGTTCGAAGTTCGAGCTCAATGATGGTCACGATCCACGATGAGACGTGGCGTAATTTTGCGGTGCAAAAATTAAGGAAGGTTAACGGTCTGACTCGCAACACGGGAACTAGTGATCTCGATACGTCAACGGATCTCTGCCTCTTGAAATCGTACGTGGTGGACTCAGTGGAAATTAATAGGGGGTATATATATTTGCATTAGGGCAACTAGGGGATGGAACTAGTCGTGGATTCGGATTTTTTCGTATTCTAATTGGATAATCGTATCTTATCCATGGCTGACTTGAATCGTGATCGAATTTACTATCCACGATTTTGCGAATTCCACGTTAACCTTTCAGATGAAATTCGTAGTTGAATTCTATTGGTTAATTTGGAAAATTCGAAGAGGATATTAAGAATATTGAACGATAATATAAATTCTTGGAATTTTATTGAACAATCAACGTGTCTTCTTGTTAATTTGAAGTATTTCACTTGTCAATTATGATTATCTATTACCAAATAGAAGATGCTTAAAAATTCCTTTTCCATATTTTTCATTATAATACAAACTATCTTATCTATCCTTCTATTATTTGATTTAGATCCTTCTCAAGATCCTTTCTCATAATCTTCCCTGTTCGTTGAAACTCAAAGATCAGAATTAGATAGAGAAGGAAAGAGAGAGAGGGAGACTATGGAAATTGCACATTCGTGAATTGCAAATGCTGATCGGTGGCGAATATTTTCGATTGGGGATAGCAACTATGTAGCAAAGGGGAACACGCGAAGCCCTAGTCTTCGTATAATTTTCGAGATGATCGCGTCTCTCGAGCAATGGGAAGCCGGCTATTCGATCCAGAGAAACGTTCGAGGAATCGAATTCCCAAAGGTCGATTATACAGTGTCGGCTCGCACGGGTGAACGAGCGCCCATAACGAATGCGGAATACACGTTAATGACTTCTTCAAGATCGGCTGTGTGCGCCGTATGAATTATTTAACCCGCGGGGAACCGCGTTCAATTTCAGGTCAAAGGTAAAACGATATGCTCGCGAAACGACCACCTTCCTTCTTCGGTCTCACGGAGTCACGGAGTTGGGAACAATGTTGCTTCCTTTGCTCTAAGCTTAGACGGTATAAACCCACGATCAAACATTGCTAACTTCTCCTTTATCTCTATTTAATTAATAATATTATAAATAATATTAATGTTTAATTTACACAGAGAACAAAGGAATTCATTAATACGGCTAAGATGTATCTGAAATATTAGAAGTTGAATTTCGTTTGCAATTTAGACTAATTGTCAATTAGAACTCTATACAAACAATTTCTATTAAAATAATTTCCAAAATAATTCGAATTCTGCTTGAAAATTTCTTTTGGAATCGGTAACAAAAGTTCAACTTCAATTTTTAACTGCTTCGATAATTGTCATCACCATGTATCACAGAGCCATGTATCGCAAAGCTCCATCGACGCTTTGGAAAAATAATTTCCAAAAATATGAAGTTCTATTTGAAAAATTTAACTCAATCGTACGATTGAGAAAAGTGCAATTCGTTGAACTCCTGAATGCCTCGATAATTGTCATCCCATATACACGAAGACACGAAGCACGCGTGACACGTAGCCGCCGTGTGCACGATCCGTGCGGCGCATAACTGCATCTAAGGTGCGTTGCTCGATTCCCCTCTTTGGTGTCCTGTGTTCCAGCTTCCATCGAGCCGAGCTGTGAGTCGAGCAACAGGATTGGCGGGTTGCGCGCATACGTGCACGCGCTATTTGCCCGGCAGAAACGAACGAAAAGTGGGTCAACGGCTGGCTGAATGCCTGGCTCGGTTGCCTGACTTGCTCGAGTGCCTGTTGCGTCTCAGAAAAGCCGCTTTCTCTTCTCTTGCGGCGCAACGACACCGTCCCTGGAATTCTAACACTTACGTATTTCACCTCCCACTTCTTCTTCTTCTTCTTCTTCCTCTTCTTCTTCTTCTTCCTCTTCTTCCTCTTCTTCTTCTTCTTCTTCTTCTTCTTCTTCTATTACTTCTTTTTTCTTTCTCCTCATCTTTATGGGTTATGATTTAAGATTTCTTCGGCGATTTGAAGTTTGCTTGTTGTCTGATTACGACAAGCCGTCTTAGAAATCCTAATATGTACCTACGTATTTCATCTTCCACTTCTTTCTTCTTCTTGTTTTTCCTCTCCCTGTTCTTTATCTTTTATGATTTGAGGTTTCTTGAAGGGTTATTGAAATTTGCTTTTTATTGCGACAACACCTCACAGGAATTCTAATGTTTACGTACTTCGCTTATCGCTATTTCTTCTTCTTCTTCTTCTTCTTCTTCTTCTTCTTGTTTTTACGATTCGTGATTTTCTTTTCAATTATCGAAGCTTGTTATTGCAAATCGTTATTGCAAAATTGTTGCCACGCCTTCAGAAATATTCTAATATTTAATATTTAATACCGATTCGATTCATTTGATTTTCTTTTTTCTCTTATTTTTGTTTCCTTTTCATAATTTTCATTGATTTTTTGATGAATTCAAGATTTTTTTTCAATTATTTTATTTTTTCAATTATTTGCTTATTCATTTACTTATCGATAACGATTCCTTTGCAGTGTAATACCATGCTTTAGATGATCTTGATTTGGGTTGGTTAATTAAGAAAGGAATGCTGCTGCGTGGACGTGTAAGTTTGCAGAGCGTTATTGCTGGTCGGCCTTGATAAGGTAGCGTATTCAACGGCGCGTGAGTGAAGTTTAAGGTTTCCAGTGGAACCTTGAAATCGGGTCGAAAAGATACGTTACAGTGTTTAATATAAGAACTGGTTATAGAATTTATCCTATAAATTGATATCAACGTGTTTTTAAATTCACGGTTATATTCACGAAGGAAGAAGTTTTTCTTTTGACGTAGACGTAGAATTAGTGTTAATAAACGTTATTAAAGAAGTAAGGAAAATATTTCAAATTTTACGCCACAATAATTCCAGTCTACATTAATTAACGCATTAACTCATTCTCCAAAAGAACGTCATTCCTTTCTTCTTGTACGTTCATCATCTATCAATTACCATTATTCTTGGTGGATCGTTTTAATTACTCACCGATGTTAAAAGTCGATTCAATCGAGGATTTACAGTTATCATCGTAGCTCAGATATTCCAATTCTTTTTATAAAACTTTTGTCGACCGACTTCAATTTGCATTTATTTTCATCCATCAGCTACTCTACCCAGCGCGGCTTGAAACTTAATTGTTTTACATTACCACAGAATTCTTGCAAGTCGTTATTAATCCCCGACTATGATAAATTTTCTTGGCTCTCTTTCTCTCTCTTTCTCTCTCTCTCTCTCTCCCTCTTTCTTTCTTTCTTTCTCTATCTTTCCTTTCTCCGCCGAATGGCAACCGCTAAAAGTACCGAACACATTCTTGAAAGTTCTTAACGTACACCGAGAGACAGGTATTCATGCAAATGGGTTCCATATGGAGTCATTAGAGATAACGCGATTTTTTCTTTTTTTTTTTTTTTTTTCTTTTTTAGAATGCCAGAGAAAACGATTCTCGTGATTGAATCGAAACATGGTAAATAATATTTTGAATTGAAAATTATTGGATGAGTAATAATGAAATTTATTCGGCGAACAAATTTTATTCGTTTCAATATCTCTTCTTCGTGTCAAATATTCCTTCTGCGTGAAAATTCAAAGAATAAACGGAATATTCGCTTTTCATCTGTTTCAGTGTGGAAGCATTCTTCACGCACAATTGGAAATTTGGAAGGCAGCAGTCGAAGAATCTCCACGTAACACATTGGCAGCTTCGTGGGGTCCTGCCGTTGTTCAAACTCCTAACAATAACAATAATGCATCGTCGACTATTGCGAATGCAGCTCCAGCCAGTGTCACGGGCTCTACTTGCAGCGTAGATTTTTCTGATGGTAAGTCAATTTGTTATTATGATTTTATAACTTCTTTTAATTATATTTATATTCAATTTTTTTTCGATCAATTTTCTTTATTTTTCGAGTCGAATATATACACGTTTATTTTTAAAATTTTACATTAAGTTTGTATTTGTGATGATAATTTAGTTGTCATCATTACAATTTTTTTTTAACACAATATAATTTGAACTTTATTTCATGTTTTTTTCATTCGATTATTTCAAATACGAATAGATTATCAAAATATAAATTTCAAAAGATATCACGTGGAAAAATTAAATCTTAATACATCTTAGTGATAGATAAAATTTTAATTATAATTTAGAGTCTCTTTTAAATTCAATAATTAACGTAAGCATAAATTAATTACTAAATTATTATAATTATAAAAATAATTATAAAAAATATCATTATTTCTAATTATTAAATTATATATAGTAATTATATGTTACGTCACACATATTAAATACACCACTAATACCACAGAAATATTAATTAAATCAGTATCACAGTAACATTGGTTACTGTGACTAATAAATTATCCTACATTATAATAACCCATATTAGAAATAGTTAGAATTCGAAATAAACATTAATATGATAATTTTAAATGGTTTCTCCACGCTGACTAAACACAGTAACTATCACAACAAGTTTTGCACGCTTATTATCCATATCGTAAAAATCGATCAGGAATCGTCATCGTGCCTGATTATCATCACTGTTACTCGTACAATTGCGATTAATCGACACCGCAAAATGATAAACCACAGAAAGAGCTATAATTATACATAAATATTAATATGTTGACCACAAGTACCCTCATGTCCCATATACCGATCAAACATTGTAGCTTTCTATCTGGCTGTTGGTACGAACCTAATAATTGCATCTGCTTTCGCAATCGACCAAGAAATTTATATTGCACGATTATTAAAACATTTATACAAATCTTTTATTCCAGTTGTTGTTATTCTGGAAACATATGCCGAGTGACTAATCTGTCTAGAATAATTATAATAAAAATATGCTTATCGAACAACTAATAAGGATTCTATAATATATTCCTACTGGCAAAACTAATGTGTCGTATATTGTATAAGAAAATAATTTCCATGCCAAATTACATTAAACTGCACGCATCTAAATAAACATTCGAAATAACGAATTACAAGTGAATTGCAATTTTCACCAGAGGCAACAATTGACCATCCAACAATCAATTAACATTAAAATGTCAAAGCTTGCGCGTAAATCATCGAACAGCGCATCAATCAGCAATCAGAATTACAATACTTTCAATCTTCACAACAATCTATCCAACAACCAATTAACATTAAAAGTTAAAGCTTCCACGAAACTAAAATTACAATACTTCCAATATTCACAAGAATCTACCCAACAATTAACATTAAAAGCTTCCACGTGAATCATCGAACAATGCATCGATCAGCGATTAACTAAAATCACAACATTTCCAATTCTTCACAAGAATCTAACGTTCAATTAACAGTCTGGAAATCTGGACGTGAATCATGAAACACACACATTCACACACAGCACACCAAAATCAGCAACCAATTTTCTCAAAGAACCACTGCCACCACTTTGACTCCCCCTCCCCGAAGTGCAACCACTGGAGGTTCTGGACCACTGACAAAACGGAGGCGTATCGGCTGGTTTCTTTTCTTCCAGATGAGGACGAGGATTGCGGCTCGTCGCAAGCTGGAACCGGCGGAGGCGGGGGCGGTGGTGGTAAAATGCGTAACGGCGGCTCGCACATCCACCTCTGGCAGTTCCTGAAGGAATTGCTTCAGAGCCCGGGCGTCCACGGTTCCTGTATACGCTGGCTGGACCGTGGCAAGGGTGTGTTCAAGATCGAGGACTCGGTCCGCGTGGCCAGGCTGTGGGGCAAACGAAAGAATCGGCCGGCCATGAACTACGACAAGCTGAGCCGTAGCATCAGGCAATATTACAAGAAAGGGATCATGAAGAAGACGGAGCGTAGCCAGAGGCTGGTCTATCAGTTCTGCCATCCTTACTGCCTGTAAATTACCCGGGTCCCGTTAAGCCTTTGCTCTCGTGCGAAGGATGTCGAAGGTGTTACCTCTGGGGAGGAGAAAAAAAAAAAAAAAGAAAGAAAGAAAGAAATATTTATCGACGATGAAAAGCATAAAATCGAGCGGAAATCGAGTCTCTTTCGATCGTGTGATTTATATTATTCGATTATTTATTGCGAACCGCGTTCGAGGTAACATCGATGGATGTCCTCGCCGATATTGCGTATATCTTTTCTTTTTTTTTTTTTTTAACGCTCGTCGCGATTCTCTCGTGATTCGTGATACACGATCGAAGATCGTGCGCTAGTCGCGAGGTACGCAGGTCGGTGATAAGATTGTCGTAAACCGTTGTATCGCCTCGATCGCTGGGTGGTTTATCGAGCATCGAGTGCAAAGGGTTAACACTTTTTCCTCCCAGATTCAAGGTCGTCCAGGTTGATCACCTTGAGGCTGGTGCTCGTTTTCGAAAAGGAGTTGCGACGAAGGGCTTCCGACTCTTTCTGCGTGCAATCTTTTTTTTTTTTTTTTTTTTTTTCTCGCACAGAGAACTCGTCAGAGAATACGTGCTAGTGTGCTTGCCTGTCCCACTCTTCTGTGTTGCGTGTTGTTGCGTGTCCCTTCGTTGTGTGGCTGATTGATGATATCGAAGAGAGGTGAAAAATGGAAAAAAAAAAAAAAACAAAAAAAAA